TTTTTTTTTTTTTTTTTTTTTTTTTTTTTTTTTTTTTTTTTTTTTTTTTTTGTCTCTTCCATGGATGATATGGGAGAGAATATTTCTTTTTTTGGTCTGTATCCTCCAAGTATGAAGTGCAAATTTGGGTTATAGCCCAGTAGTGTACTGCAATCATATCGTCTTGCAGTGGGCTAATTAAGTGAAGCGAGTAGGAACAATAGGGTGTAAATATGGGGATCTCAAGCGTTGCTGGTGGTACAAGAAGTCTTGTCCTCGCATGGTTATAGGACAGGAATTTTTGTTACAGAAACGTAAGTAAGAAAACACGCAGTGTTACTCATCTGCCCTAGAGAATGACAGCAAAGAATTGAGAGAAGCTTGTTTATTGCGTGAAATGGCTGGTCATTGCCAAGACAGTTCAACAATGGAGCCACATGATGAATTTCAGTCAAGTAAGTGTTTTTCTTTTTTCTCTGAAAAAAAAGTGATCACCTATTATTCCAGTCTCTTCCTTTTTCCTTGCCCTTGAGGAATCTTTAGATCTGTTTTCGTTCTCCACATCTGTTGCCTGATGGCACTCTTGCTTTGCCGCGATTGGTAGAACCTCCATGCCCCCTGATTGAGGCTTTTTGTGTTTGTGCATCTTTCACCTTTCCTTCCATCTCCCCATTTGATCGCTTCTGAGACTCTCGGTTTATTAGGGATTTATGTTCAATAGTATCTGATCTGTGTACATCGATGATTTTAAATTTTACTAGACATGAGATTTTTAAGTTATATAGTTAGAACTCTGTTCCTATCCTGAACAACATTGTTGCTAGAATATGTAGAATGGTTTATTGACATGAAAAATTTGTATACTTCATGCGAGTGACCAACTAGTGTTATATTTAGAATTGTTAAAGTTGGAGTATAGTTATATGGTTCTAAGGATAATCTTACGTTTCAGATTATAGAAGCAGCAAGAAGCTGGAAGAAATTTCTTTTGTTTTAGTTAGAAAACATTAAAAATGGTCAAAGCTGCTAGCTTTTTACTTGGCATCCTTTACAATTTTGGGAATTTGTCCTGTGAATTTCGAATGCAGGTTTCTTCATTGTTCTCTCTTTGGGTTGTAAATACAAATTTTCCCAGTTTAGTACTTACAGATATTTGAAGCAGCTTTTGTTGAAAGGATAATGCTTTCTTTATGAATTTATTTCTTTTCGACATTGCGAAGTCTTCTGCAATATTTTGACCCCTGTTATGAATCTTCAACGAAAATGTTGCCTGTAGGTTTGCGTTTATTGGCTCGAAGTACTGATGGGGAGCTTTGTATGGAACTTAACCTGTAGATACCTACGTACTGTTTCATCAATTTCTTAGCTTTTAGGATATTGGAGGATATCCAATTGTGTTCCTCTCACCACTATCCATCTTTTTCCCATGTAGACAATCTTTAGTATCCAAAAAAGAAAACTGGTAGCTTTTAACTTGTTGGAAAAGCAGTCTCAAGAACAGTGTGAATTATCAGCATTCATTTTCTCATCCAAGTATATGATTATGTCGTAGTACTGGTGATTTTATGTTCAATGTTCTTGGAAGCTCTATAATGTCTGTTTCTAATGTTTTCTAACGTAAATTTGCAGGTTTGTGGGCCTTCCGTGATCAGCTTAATTTATGGCTATGAACCGATTTCAGATTGTACTAAGGTGGGTACATCTATTTAAGCTTCACTTCGTCCCGAAACATTCAGTCTGTGCTCTCTGATCTTTTTATACCCAACTTGGTTGATATCTGTGTTTAGGTCGTATGAAAATGTCTGTCGGAGCTGAACTCCAAAATCCTCCATCTGAAGTCAGTTTAGCTCGTGGCTTGAACAATCAACAATTTGTTCCATCTTAGGAAGCTATCAAATACTCTTCCTGGCATAGGTCTTTACCAACTAGCAGTACATCATTCAGTGTGGTTGGCTTTGCACCCTATGCTCTGGTATAAGAAAAATGAACTGTCTATTTGAAGTTGGCGCTTAATTTTTCGTATTGATCACTACATCTTATTTACGATTCGCAAGCATCCATCTATGAACAGGCATGGATCGTGTCGCCGCAGTTCGACAAAACTGGTTTCGCCGAGTTTAATTGCCCCCCCCCCCTGCAGTGAAGTTGGCTGAATAACAGCAGAGCCTGCCTGCACTTGGGGTGCGCCTACAGCCCTCCATCACGCAAATATCAGTGTATGCCACAGCTTAAGATATATTTTGTATGTATTCTACTCTGAATTCTTACTCCAACTTATGAATCAGATGCAAATATCTATTAGGTGACTAATTGTACAACTAATTATAAGATGATGTGGCGTTTTAAGTTTCTATTTGTATATATATATATATATCATCTCTTTTGTAGCAGCCATATATATATATATATATATATATATAGATATCGATAGATGTATGTATGTATGTATGTATGTATGTATGTATGGAATTTTAGATTTTAGATTCAATTGTTTATGTTTAGGTTCATTTAGATATATATATATATATATATATATATGATAGATCAACATGTAGGACTGCCGTCTTTGCTAGTGAATGAATCAGAACGCTAATGGAGTTTTGAACGTTGGAACTCTTGGTCTGAAAAAAAAATCTCTTTTTTTTTTTTTTTTTTTTTTTTTCAATTTTAAACTCTAATACAGTTCGTAACTAAATTAGCCAAATAGAAAACAACAGAAAATTTGTCAATATAACACTCATAGCAATACCAATTTATGAAATTTAACTAAAATGTAAAACCAAATTGAAACATTATAACAAACACAAATACTAAATTGAAACAAAATCCAAATTATAACAACCAAACCTATGAATAAACTATATCTATGAATAAACTATATCTGCAGCAAAGATGTCTATTTAACTTTGAGAGATGATGCAAAGATGTAACCTGAAGAGATGCAAAGATGTTTATTTAACATGGAGAGATGCAAAGATGTCTACTTAAGTCGAAGAAATTTCTTTATTTAAATCGAGAATAAGAGAGAGTAAAGAGATTTTTTTTGGTATGGAGACAAAGACTTTATTATATATATATATATTTTGAAAAAAATGAAAAAGAATTTGAAATGAATAATTCTAAAATAAATATAAAAAAATGGAATAAGAGAAAGCCGACCCGCAATACTTGGAAAAAAGGGCGGGAGTTGGCGCCGTTTTTTCCTTGGAAATTTCAGTTAAAGCAAAATTCAAAATTAAGTAAAAATAAAGAATTGAACAGTTCCCCGCGGGATTGAATCTCCAATCTCTCCCAAATCAAAATTTCACGAATCTTCCACATTTTTCAGTTCGCGGGAACTCTGAATTCGAAAACCCTATTCCTAATTCTTCTACTCAAATCAGATTCCTCCTCAAATTTTCACTCCCATTCATTCATTCATCATCATCTTCTTCTTCTTCTTTGCAGATCCGAATGGATTCCCTCCATGGCTTACCTCCCCTCAAAAGCCTCAGATTCCTTCAAGAACAACAGCAACTGAACCCGCAAAACCAGGATCAATCTCTCCATTCCTCTTCCCTTCCAGCGAAGAAGCGAAAGGAGTCTCGCGATTCATCATTATTCTTTCTTCCAGACGCTGATTCGCCTCACCCAGCCGCCATTTCCGCTTCTTACTGCTTGCCAACCAAGAAGAGAGTGTGGGCGCTTCACCCTGATTTTCCCCCCGAGTCATTGGATCTCAATGTTGAATACAAGCCTCCTCCGGAGGAAGAAGAATCGGTACCGAAAACAGAATCAGTGAGAGAGAAAAATGAAGAGGATGAAGAAAAGGAAATTTCTGATGTTGAAGACGAAGACGATGGGATCCTCTGTGCGATTTGTCAAAGCACAGACGGAGATCCTTCAGATCCAATCGTGTTCTGCGATGGATGCGATTTAATGGTACATTCTTCATGTTATGGCAATCCTCTGGCGAAGAGCGTACCAGAAGGCGATTGGTTCTGTATCCAATGCTTAGCTTCTTCGTCTTCTAACACAGAGAAGAAGGTATCAGAAACTCCATTTTCATGCTGCCTCTGTCCTCTCAAAGGAGGGGCCATGAAGCCGACGAACGATGGCCGATGGGCTCATATTGTCTGTGGGCTCTTTGTTCCTGAGGTGTTCTTCGAGGACCCAGATGGCAGAGAAGGAATCGATTGCTCATTGATTCTGAAGAGGAGATGGGAATCGAAATGTTACATCTGCAAAACTTCTAGCGGTTGTGCTATAGACTGCTCAGAGCCCAAATGCAATTTGGCTTTTCATGTTACTTGTGGGTTGAAGGAGGATCTCTGTATTGAGTACAGAGAAGGAAGAAGATCTGGTGCCATTGTAGCTGGGTTCTGCAGAAACCACACCGACTTGTGGAAGAAGGTAAATTCATTCCCTTTCTCCTTTTATCCAGGAAGGTTTGAATTCTTAGAATGACTGTTCTTCCATAGTTCTTGTCTATGTCTAAGGAGTTTCTACTGTGTTAATTATTTGATTGTTTCTATTACATTTGGTGAATTCTGCAAGCATTTTGTGTTAACAAAAAGAAAAAACCCCAAAAGAGCTCCTGCTAATTGATGGGTAGGCAAGTATGGTTTATGTGAGATTCCACGATCGTTGGAATCATGACTCTCCACAATGGTATAGATATTATCCACTTTGAGTATGCACGAGAGCTTCCTCAAAAGATCCCATACCAATAAAAATGTATTCTTTACTTGTAAACTTACGGTCCTTCTCTAAATTAACCCAACTTTTTCATAATAGAAATCTTTAGGAAAAGTCTGAAAGGGAAATCTCAAATAGGACAATATATACGAGTATTGAGTTTTGTTGGATGAAAGTCCCGCATCGGCTAACTTAGGGAATGATCATGGGTTTACAATCAAAGAATACTATCTCTGTTGGAATAAACACTTTGGGGAGGTTATGCTCAAAGTGGACAATATCATACTACTATGGAGAGTCGTGTTCAACTAACAAACTTGGGCTGTTATAGTTTTATATGAAAGAACGGGTTTGAGTGTCGTTTGAGTATTGTTTATCTCTTATGCTTGCAGCAACAACTGACAGGAAAGTTCAAGATCGTGGCTCGAGATGAAGGTAAACTGTAGTTGCTAGAAAATCTATAGCTCGAGATGAAGGTAAACTGTAGTTGCTAGAAAATCTATAGCTCGAGATGAAGGTAAACTGTAGTAAGGTTGTTCTAGATTTAGAATCAATGTTTAGATATTTATTTCAGTTCATGGCATGGTACTTGCTTGTAATTGTGTTTAATTAAATGATATAATAATAATTAGGCTAAAATACCCTATTTGTCTTGTGAACTTTGTTAGTTCAATTAATGTAAAGTAATAATATGATAATATGATAATCATGAGTTGGTAGAATTTGTCACATATGGTAAGGTTTGGTGGCTAAGACTTTGTTCTTCTAGAAATTTGATTTTTTAAAGTTATGAGAATAATTGGGGTTCACGCTATTATTATTTTTCCATGTTTGTCATTATTGTTAAAATGAAGAGATAGAGTTCGGGGATATGAAAGTCATTTTAGGTCATTTTTTATTTTTTATTTTTTTTTTAAATTTAAAAGTATATAAAAAATAAAAAAATAAAACATAAATTAATTGAAAAGTAAGGCAGCATAACTATGTACTCCATGAATATACTCTGAAGAAACTCGAAAATCAAAATCAAAATCAATCGGACAATCAAAAGTGATGGCGGAGAAGAACAACACATCAAGATTCGGAGGTTCGATTTTGGTACCTTCCGTTCAAGAGTTGGCGAAACAGCCGATCATCGAAGTTCCATCTCGATACATCCGCCCCGATCTCCACTCCTTCCCGATCGTCTCCGCCGCTTCCGAAATCCCCGTTATCGACATGTCGAACTTTCACTCCGACGCTTCAATGCACTCCGAATTGGCTCGGCTTCATTCCGCTTGCAAAAATTGGGGATTCTTTCAGGTTTTCCTCTTCGTTCCTCTGTTTCTCTGTATAATCTTATGATTTTGAATCGGTGTCGTTTGCTGTAATTTAGTTGGTGAACCATGGAGTGAGCGATTCGTTAATCGAGAAAATGAAGGCGGAGACGCAGATGTTCTTCAATCTACCGATTGAAGAGAAGAAGAAAAGGCTATGGCAGAGTGAAGAAGATGCAGAAGGATTTGGACAAGCTTTCGTTGTAAGTGAAGAACAGAAACTGGATTGGTGCGACCTTTTCTTCATCGCTACCGCGCCTCCACATCTCAGGAAACCGCGCTTATTTCAAAACCTCCCTCTCGCTTTCCGGTTCTCTCATTCTCTTGCACTCTCAATTTTCGTTCCATTGCAGAGTATCATTCTTAAATTCCGGATTGATTCGGATGCAGAAACACAATGGAGGAGTACTCGGCAGAGGTGAAGAATCTGGCGATGGCGATTTTCGAGCAATTTGAGAAAGCGTTGGGGATCAAAGAAGGGGAGTTGACGGAGATCTTCAAGGATGGTAGTCAGTCGATGAGAATGAACTATTATCCTCCCTGCCCGGAGCCGGAGAAGGTGATCGGACTGACCCCGCATTCCGACGCCGTCGGCCTCACAATTCTGCTGCAAATCAACGAAATGGAAGGTCTGAAGATTAAGAAGGACGGGAATTGGGTTGCCGTGACGCCTCTCCCCAATGCGTTCATCGTCAACATTGGCGACATCATGGAGGTAATGATTTCACAATTAAATTTACTTTTTATTTATTTTAATTTCTCATCTACCTAATATTATTTATTTTCAATTGATTGAATTGAAAATTAAAAGTTTAAAATAATTTCGTAGTTTATAAATAAAGAAGTATATAAAAAAAAAAAGAAAAAATTGCAAACATGCTAAAACAACAAAGTGACACGTGGCACCATAAGGTTGGGCCACATAGTTGGACTACTCCATCTAGGTTTTGCTCTTCCCAAACTATTAAGATAGGAATATAAATTTGTATGAATTTAGTAGTAAAATCCTGTTAGGGTTGTTTTGAAACAAACTTTAGATGAAAATGAAACTCAATAGTATATTAAAATTAATGTCATAATTTAGGATATTTTTGATAACTTAACAAAATCATAATTAAGAGTCTGAAGGTTAAAATATTATTTTGGTTCTTGTAATTTAAGACTGGCTCGATTTTAGTTGGTGTATTTTTAAATAAATATAAAAACTAAAATCGTACTAATAATATGGCATTTAATAGATTTATTATTTTGGAAAAGAACCGGTTTGGATCTAAGATTAATCAAAAACAAAATTAAAAATTAAGAAATTTATTATACAAATAATTAAAGTTAAAAAATCTAACCACGGAAT